ACCCGTGGCACTCACCGCAGCCAGTGCCTCTTGCTGGTGTTGGTGTGGCAGCAAATGGCATCATACTGGTCAGCCAGCCACACGATGAGGATGATATAGAAGGCGGTGGTGGTGTCATTGAAGAACTCCGACATGATAGCCTCCATCCCTACAGGAGACCGTGGGTTGCGGTGGGCATGGTGGGAAGGCCAGGAACAGAGGGGAGGGGGGGGAGGGGACTGGGTGAGAAGGCAGAATGGTGGGCAGAGAGGTCCTCACCCACGAGGGCCAGGATGACGGTCAGCAGGGGCGCTGCAGGGAAGGCGATGGCCATGTTCATCTCCAGCATCTGCAGCAGGTCCACTGCGGGCAGAGGGTGGTGGGCGGGCAGACCGGGTGAGGCGCCCCTTGGGGGGTGGGGTGGGCAGGGGGCCATGGGGGCCTGAGGCTGACCCCACCTTTCCTCCCGCCACCAGGCCAGGAGACTCACCAATGAAGACAAAGATCTGGTGATGGGAGTAGCGGAGCAGCATGGACACGCTCAGGGTCTGCAAAGGAAGATGTGTAAGGCTAGGGAACGGCCACCTGCCCCCACACCCTCTGCCCAGCCCAGTATCAAGACACTCACGAAGATGACCATGATGATGAAGGCAGCCAGATAGGATGCTCGGGCCATCCACATGCTCACAAATCGGTAGTGCTCGCCTGACACCACGTTCCGCAGGAAGCCTATACAGGGAGGCTGTGAGCACCACTGTCTGCCCTCCAGCCCCCAACACTGTACCCCACACCCTCCCCAGCCCTGGTCCCAATCGCACCCTTGTTCTCCTCGTTCTCAGCCAGACCCTTCACACTGGACATGAGGATGTCATCATAGCCCAGGAACTCGGCCAGCAGCAGGCGGCTGAAGCGGTCCCCGAAGCACTGGTCCCGTGTGGGATCTGCGGGTGGCACACCAACAGGGGTAAGGCCCCCACTGGCCTGCATCCACCCCACCCGGGCAGTGCTGTGATTGTCAGGCCCTGGGGGATGGTCCCCAGACCTCGGTCTTTTTTTTTTTTAAATATATTCTTACTAGAGGCCCGGTGCACGAAACTCGTGCACTTGTGGGGGTCCCTCAGCCCGGCCTGTGCCCTCTCGCAGTCCGGGAGCCCTTGGGGGATGTCCAACTGTGGGGAGCGGGCCTAAACCCAGTCGGACATCCTTAGCGGTGCTGCGGAGGCAGGAGAGGCTCCCATCACCGATGCTGTGCTCAGCAGCCATGAGCCCAGCTCAGGGCTTCTGGCTGAGCGGCACTCTCCCTGTGGGAGCACACTGTCTCCCCCTGGTGGTCAGTGTGTGTCATAACGACTGGTTGTTCCACCGTTGGTCAATTTGCATATTAGCCTTTTATTATATAGGATTGATTTCAGAGAGGAAGGGAGAGGGAGAAAGATAGAAACATCAATGATGAGAATCACTGATCTGCTGCCTCTGCACGCCCCCCATTGGGGATCAAGCCTGAAACCCAGGCAAGTATCCTGATTAGGAATCAAACTGTGACCTCCTGGTTCATAGGTCAATGCTCTACTACTGAGCCACACTGGCTGGACCAGACCTCCATCTTTAAGTGCTTCTGGATCACTCCCTACCATGGCCCTCTCCCAGGGTGACTCACCCAGGGTGACTACCATGACCGGGATGCTGAGCCGCTGCCGCGTGGCCTGTGACAGGCGCAGGAAGCCGTACTCCAGCGAGTACTCCACAATGTACTCATCCTGTGGCCACACTGTGGGTGAGAATGGCCTGTCAGCCTACAGAGCCTCAGCCAACCCCACCTCCCTCCTTCAGAGGAGGAGCCAGAGAGGGAGTGTGACCAGGGCCCAGGAGCACCTCTATTGCCTCACATGCTGCTGACAGATAGGGAAATGGAAGCTCGGAGTGGCCATTCTCCATGTCCAGGAGTGTGACTCCCCCTGACATCTTGGCAACACATACCTTTTGAGGGTGTCTCAGGGAAGGGGAACTCCTGGCTATCATTCAGGGCCTCAGGGCCACCGGGCGGCTTGAACACCTTGGGCTCAATGTCCAACTCAAACTGTGGGTCACCAGGAGACAGGGTGTCAGTGGGCTCTCGTCTGGCAGAGAGGCCCCTCTCCTGCCACCTGGAAGGAGATGCACTCTGCCCCTGTCCACCGTAACCCCCAGCCGCTGCCAGAATATCCTCCACCTCTGGGGCGGAAGGGCCTCTGACCAGCATCTCATGAAAAGACCCCTCACCCAGCACCAAGAACCTAGCCATCTCCAGGTGAGTGTCTGTACCCATCCCTGCGGGCAGCTGCGTCATCGGGATGACCAGGACTGCTTGGGCTCTCAGCCCAAACCCTCCCAGGGCCTCCTCAGCATCCCCAGAATGAGGCCAGTCCCTTCCAGGTAACAGTCTGCTTCGCACAGCACCCACATCCCGTCCCAAGGCCACGAGTGCCGGGCCCTGCAAGGTCCAGAGCTTCCCCAACAGTGACGTCCTCCTGCACACTCACCTGGATGGAGTGGTTCCCAAACATCTCCATGGTCAGCTCCTCCTCCTCCTCCTCTAGCTCCAGGCCACCAGGCTCCGCAGACAGGCCAGGGAAGCTGCTGTGACTACTGTCACAAAACTGCAGGAAGACTGGCGCGCGACTCGAGTTCTGCTGTACTTCCACGCGTAGGACGCCCTCTCGTGGCCACTTGTCGCGCACGTGCTCCAGGCAGTTGATGGGAGACCGGGAGAAGACGATGTGGATGTAGGCCAGGACGAAGAGCACGAACAGGGCCTGGGGGCGGGGGCCCCACCGGAAAGTGAGACCTGAGCTTTGTTGGGGAAGGAAGGGAACCCCGGGGCTCTGAGGTTCCCTAAGCTCCAGACCCACCCTGTCCTCTCCTGGCAGCATACGGTCTTAAGGGTGTCACTGGTCCAAGGTCCTGACCACCCTGCTCCATGTGAGCCAGGATGAGGCACTCATGTGCGTGTGGAACCCCCACTCTCAGAGAGACTATCAACTAACTGCTCCCTGGGAGGCCCAGCCCAGGTGCCACCACCCCTGGGCTACCTGCTGGGCTCCCACTGTCCCCAGGAGGCCTGCCTAGCTGCCTCACACTCTGCCTTGTCCTCAGAGTGCCCCTGACCTCACCAGCTAAAAACAGCCTTCTTTGCCCACTAAGCACTCTGCACCCCTCCCACGATGACAGGGCCAGCTCGCTCTGCCTCTTTGAGGCAGTTTCTCCATTAGTAAAACGGGGACGGCAGGGGTCTCATCTGGGCGGTCCTATCCTCAGGGGGTGGCGCTAAGCAGTGATGGCGAACCTATGACACTATGAACTCATTTTTTTGGTTGATTTTTCTTTGTTAAATGGCATTTAAATATATAAAATAAATATCAAAAATATAAGCTTTTGTTTTACTATAGTTGCAAATATCAAAAAATGTCTATATGTGACACGGCACCAGAGTTAAGTTAGGGTTTTTCAAAATGCTGACACGCCGAGCTCAAAAGGTTCGCCATCACTGCGCTAGGGGATGCTGCTGCTCAGCACTCAGCCCCCACAAAGAGCAAGTAGCCTGATATCAGAAGTGCCGAGGGGGGTCTCTGCCCTAAGTCACCAACAGCAACTTCTGCCCGACTCAAAGTAAGTGCATCAAAAGGGCCCTCCATTTGGATCTACTGAGGAACATCCGCCTCCCCAAGAACTCACCTCACTGTCTGACAATCTTGCTTCTCATGGGGCCCCAGTTGGATAAGTGTCACCTTCCCAGCCTAGAGGCCATGCCAAGGCGTCGCCCCCATGCATCCCACCCACTGCCCTACCCTTGGGGAAAGGGCGCAGCTGGTCCAATGTGGTGCCAGCATTCCCAGGAATAGATGGATGTCAGGGAACTGGTGACCCCAGTGGCTATTCAGTCAGAGACTGCGGTGATCCCTCAGCTAGGCCAGCACAGCCTCCGACCACCCTCACCACACACAAGCTCCTACCAAATTACTACTCTCCAGGACCAGCTCGCTGTGTGGTCCAGAACCACAGCTTGGAAAAGCCTGGGCCACAGAGACCAGAGCACAAAGTCCTTCTCTGCCATCTGACAGGGACACTGGTACTCAGGCGGCTGGTGAGTTGCCCCTGGCTACACAGCCACCAGAACCCCATCCTTATGGGGCCATGAGCCTCAAAGGGTAGAACCAATGCCAGCTGTAGACCCCTGGCCTCCCCTCTGGAGTCTGCTCTGCAAACGGCAAAG